CAACCAAGTACAAGCATGAAAGCAGCCAATACGCACCTACCAAGAAACACAACAACGTGTAGGATAAAGAAGGAACACGTAAAAATGCAATGAAAAGACAGTCCGAGTACTGGAAACCAGGGACAAAAGCAAAAGCAACTGGCAACAGAAGGCACAGGAGCCACATGCAGACGTGACGCGAGAGAAAACAAGACCCCTGCCCAAACTCAAGTGTTAATGGGAGAAGCAACCCCCACATGAGCACCATAAATCCTGACCCCAAGAAACAGGAAGTCATCCAAACCACAGGAGGAAGGTGAGGGGGTATAGAAGGCGTGTACACACGCCAGATGTATATGAATGTGGAGAGAGAGCATACACATGGTTCAGCCACAAGGTAGAAATTGACCAGAAAGGCAACTGGTCTAACCCACACTCTGCGACCCCACAATGGACGCCCAAGTCAAAATCGGGGAACGCCCTAAGAAGAATGCAGAAAACATTCTAACAACCCATTAAACCAAAAGCCAAAAGCTGTTAATGACAGGTTAGGGTAGGTCGGGTGAAAACTATGGGGAAATCCTGAACGTGAAAATCAGCGCCCACTGACGTCAACCCGGGCGACCACCGAGGAAGCACAACACATGGGCCGACCCAACTGCTACTTGGGTCAGACATTAGAATGGTACGGAACATGTATATATATGGGTGCAACCAGGCGCTGAATGATGGCAATGAATGAGTGTCCAGAGTCCCAGCTAACAAGACACCAGACTGTAGAATCTCACCTGTAGAGCATAGGCACTAACAAGGAATGACAGCTTAGCCGCGTAACAGTGTGGGAGCATCACTAGTGGAACTTGTCCAGAGTTGCTTGTGCAGGAGAGCAGGGGCAGTGGAGAGGTGGAGGAAACACCACTCCCAACCACCCCACACCCATAAGCAGAGAAAGAAATAGATGTGTTCCTCACATATAAAACTCAGTACTTCCCCAATATCCAGGGGACGACGAATGGAGAGAGAAGAGGAGCGAAAGCTGCGTATCACCAGGGAGAAGCGTGCGGAGCACCAACAGGCGTACACCGACCAGAACAAAATCACCCACGGCACATGCACAGGACACAGTAGGTCCGCGCTGCACCACTCTACTTCCGGGGAGGGTGCCAACAAGGAATATGGAACTAACAACAGTAATGTCGAGACAAAGGAAGGTAGAGTACCAACGAGTCCCAGAAAAGACTGGAGGGAAGCCCCACAGGAAGGCGACAGACGTGCCAAAAATGCAGAAGCATCAAAGACCCACTGAACGTTTGAGAACCAAGACCAACAAGCACAAAACCACAGAGGTGCAGATGCACCCAAAAACATCCGAGACCCATGGCCATGCAGGACCCGAGACAACAGAAAACGAACACGGCATGATGCAGAACACAGGCCCTTAGAGAAGGAAGGTGTGAAGCGGAGAAAACGCCCCACAGATCCGCACCCGGGGAGGGGCCGAGGCCCAAAGTCAACTCATACACAGTGGGGGGAAAGGAAAACCCCACTCCTTGTAACAGCAAGCCCCGCTTGGAAAGTCGGAAAACCCAGGCAGGGTCCAACGAGGCCCAAGGTCCCCAACTCGGCCCCTCCCCAACCCCCAGAACCACCACATCAGGCCCTGGGGACGAGTCGTCCTCCAAAGCCCCAGCCTCACAAGAAAAAGCCAGGGCTGCCGAAATAGCAGGAAGAGAGTGGGCCTACTGGTCAGACCCCTGAGCTAAAGCTGGAGGAACAGACTAGAACGCCTCCAACACAACCCCAGACGGGGCAACCCCCGAAACTGCCCGAGTCTCAAACCTCGAAACCTGCCCCGACCCCCGAAGCCATCAGACGCCTAGGAGCCAGAAGCAGGGGGGAGAGGGACCAAAGGAACCACAGCATGGGAAGAATAAGGGGGTGCGGACTGAACCAAGGCCAACGCGACCAAAACCCACAAGCCCAGGTCCTGAGAAGCAAAACAGGCCAGCCTCGTGGCATCCGGGGAAGCAACTAAACCAGCACGCTGCAATAACCTACCTGGCAACGCGCGAGCCGCCTGCACCCGAGGAATGTCATCAACAGACTGGGTGAATGGAACCACAAACAAGCAACAAAGCTTGCGGGACTCAGGGTCGAATGTGTCACCGACCCAACAGGCAGCACGATGGAGGCAAAAACAAGGAGTGTTGCCCTGAGCCATGGGGACAGAGCAGCCCTCAAACTCGCACAAAGCGAGGGGGGACACAGGGATCTCGTCCATTGGACCAGTGTCCCCACAGGGTTTTCCAGGGGCTCTTAGACTGGGTCTGCTAAGGGTTATCCCAGGCAGGGTACTGCTAACCGCCGCCCCAAAACTACCAAGTAAACTGCTAAAAGCTGAACTCACGGGACGTGTCCACTCACGAGGGTGAAGCAGGGGGTACCACCACACAAACCACCCTAATATAAGGGGAAGGGGAGAACACAAGGCAGACCCCCACCAGGCAAAAAGAAAAGAAAAACCTCACAAGAAGACAACGTACCCGAAGAGAACAGAGCCGGCCGCTGTTATAGGTGAAAACGAGCTATGCAGTACCCAGCGCCCCACCAGTGCAATATTTACTGTACCACTTACCCCTGGTTGATACCTGGTTGATACCTGGTTGATGGGGTTCTGGGAGTTCTTCTACTCCCCAAGCCCGGCCCGAGGCCAGGCTTGACTTCTGAGAGTTTGGTCCACCAGGCTGTTGCTTGGAGCGGCCCGCAGGCCCACATACCCACCACAGCCCGGTTGGTCCGGCACTCCTTGGAGAAATAAATCTAGTTTCCTCTTGAAAATGTCCACGGTTGTTCCAGCAATATTTCTTATGCTTGCTGGGAGGACGTTGAACAACCGCGGACCTCTGATGTTTATACAGTGTTCTCTGATTGTGCCCCCAAGGCACACAAGGGAGGAAAACCCCACACACACTCGGGGTGGCCAAACGCCAAGCAGCAAAAGGCCAACAGAGGTAGACCCAAGGTGACTTGTGGAAGAGAACCCCAAGCCCCGAGGGCAGTACTTACAGGGCACTCAGGGAAAGTGGCCCTAAGCACACGCAGCCCGAGTACCTGAGAATAATACTCCCGGCTCGCACGACCACCGGAAAACATCAAGAAAACAAAGAATTTTGCTTAATAACAATTGTTTCAAAATATTTTATTAATAATAATTTAGAATTTTCTTCATTAAACTGAATCATTTTAACAGAAAGTTAAGATGTTATATACGACTGGACGATTGAGGTCAGTGGCCTGGTCGCCATGTGAGGGGACGTCGATGCCAAAACAAACCCAATACTGACCATCGGTAATATCGACCGCCAGACCAGTATACAAGACTCCAGATACCGGTCTCCCAAACCGATCGTTATTACCGGCAGATCGGTATTAAAGAGGCCGTTAAATTGAGTGGTTAAATTGAGTTGAAAACTAGCTGCACAGTACCCCGTGCCCCCTACCAGTGCAAAAGCTACCACTTACCCCAAGGCAAAGAAGGGAGGAAACCCCGCAACATACTCGGGGCGGTCAATTGCCGAGCACCAAAAGACCAACAGAGGTAGACCCCAAGGTCACTTGTGGAAGATAACCCCAAACCCCTAGGGCAGTACTTACAGGGCACTCAGGAAAGGGAACCCTAAGCACATACAGCCCAAGTACCTGAGAATATTACTCCCAGCTCGCATGCCACCGTAAGAGCAGTACTGGGCCCAAGGTACAGCACAACACAGAGAGAGTCTGGAGCTGGAGCCACACAACAATGCCCAATCACATCAGCCGAAGAACTGGTGGGTGGATTGCCGGAGTGGGGTCTGGGGGGTCTGGGGGTCTGGGGCTCCCTCTTTCCCCTCCTGGGGATGGTGGAGCTGCGCAGACATGCGGCACGGCTTGTGTGACGTCATGTTCATTTCCTCGTTTTCATTTGGGGAGGTTTTTCCATTAGTTTGTTTATTTTAGTCATTTTAACTAGAATAGGGGTTTGTTTTGAGGTGCTTAACTTTCTGGGTGCCTGTTCTGGTCGATGGCAGATATAGACTGCTCCAAATCACATGTGCATTTCCATAAACCATTGCTCCTCGTGCCTTTCTGAGGGGGCCAGGTTCTGGCCGTGGTCCCCGGTAGGCTTAGAACTCCATTCACACTGATGCCAAAGTCTAATGATATACATAGCTTGGATAGCTCCAGGGAGCCGAAGGAGCTCAGAAACAGCCAATGGGACTACAGCTGGAGTAATGCTGCAGGAGGGAAAAACCCAGAAGCCGTCCAAAAATCCTAAACAAGGCCCAGCAAAGTCCTAACCTGCAACAGAACCAAATGGGACTTCCTCCAGTTCACTAAGAACCCGAACCTGGAGAGCTGGAAAAGAACCAAACCCCTGGCGAGAAGACAAGCAGAAAATTGAGGCCAGAGGAGACCTCAGCCACAGCCGGCTTCAGTCGACAAACTGGTGAGCAGACGGCCAGCTCGGGTGGGCGAGGCCCAATCTAGGCGAGTTTTGCCCTATTTTGAACGTTTCTCTTGTATTTGAGTCAAGAAACATTTGAATCGTTTGTTGGGTTGTTTATCATTTTTATAAGATTTGGTCTGTTAACACTCCAGTTGTCTATCAAGCTTCAATAACTTTCTAAATGCTGTCTCACTGAAGTGGTGAATTGGTAATTGCTCTCTGCCCCTTTGGCCAGGGTCAAAGGAGCAGATAGATTCTTTGCCCCAGGCCAAAGGGGCCTCCTCAAAAGAGTCAAGTTTTGACTCTGGTCCCCGGTAGGCCAAACAGAACTCCCGCCTTCTGATGTCACCCATCTACATGGAGCAATCTCAGCAAGATAGCTTCAGGTACTCACCAGGGGCTTCCCCAGAAAATTTTATTTACAGTAACAAAAGTCCTTTACAAAGATATTTAGAGCTTCTGTTACTTAATGTAAACTGCTTCACTATATAATTTACAAAAAGCCACACCATAGTTTTCTATTCCAATAAATTACCTGAATACGTTGTATGGTGTTGATGAGCTCATTAATATGTTTTTGCATACGCTTCTCAGCTTTATGAACATCATCAATATCATCCAGCTCCTTCTGGGTGTCTGACAGGGAGGAATAGTCCAATACAATACGTGCTTCTTTCTCGTACATCACCTGCAATACATTACAGTTTTGTATTGTCACTTTGGGATATCTATGTCACCAATGTAAAGAAAATTATAGCTAGCCATGATTACCAAATACACACACACCTTGTATTACTCAAAGGTGGGACAAGTATTACACCAATTTGAAGTATAAAATAGTCAACCTTGATGCAGGAAAACACTCATCTAGACAGGGAGAAAAAGTATGATATCATGGAGGGGGGGGAGGGGGACATTTGATGATGATTTAGAAATTAATGGCTTCCTACAAGCCAAGGTTCAGCATGCAGGCACAAATATCCATAGAACTGTCAAAGTCATTTCATTCACACAACAGGCAAAGTACTGGCTTGTACTTTAGCTTGTCAGCAGCATACAAACACAACAATCATGAAAATAAACACTAACCTGAGTATTGACCCCAGAGGAGTACTCCAAGGTGGACTCTCCTGCTTCCCGACCTTCATTTTCAATGTCTTCCATGTTGCCACGAGTCATAGGCACTAAGATGTCATCCATCTTGCACTGTTTTAAAATTGAGTGTCTGCACAAAAAAAGAAAGACATCAATACACATAGGAAGAAGCAAATATTATCCTCAATAATACAACACTTCATCCTCAGCTGTATACCTAAATGAGAGAAACAACAATCTGAGATATAACCTAATGCAAAAACAAGAACTGTCAAGGTAAATGAAAAAACAGAATTCCTTGTTAGTGAGAGCCATATATAAAGCCAGCGATGAACGTAACGGCTCCCTGAAGCCGTTACGCTCACTGAGCTCACTGAGATACTCACTGAGATACCTCCACGGATATGAATCACATCAGCTTCAAGTCCTAATTTACCTACTAGGGGACCAAAACCAGAACCCTCCCCCCCCCTCCCCCTAAAGAGACAGGGAGCAGGGAATTCTTACAATCACCCTCACTGAGAAAACATCTATAATGTAAGTAAAGCAAAAGATTCTCTGTGAACCTTGCCATTCACAGAGTGTGTATTGCTTTGTTTTGCTTGATTTTTCTTAGGGGTTCTGTCTTTTGCCTTATTAGGCTGGCCTAATTAGGATGTAAGCAGTTGAACCCCCCTTGCTGCCCCCCCCCCCCTCAGCTTTATCTTAGGTTTCAGGTGGCTTGGCTCCCTGCACTGACAGGGTTTACCAGTGCAGCAGACCCCCAGTGCCAGGGCTTCCTGCAGGGAGCCAACCCTTCAGGCTCTGGAAAATCCCTACAGGGTTGGTTATACTACAGATGCCTCTTCTGAGCCTATTCTCGCCTAGTGCGAATCTGAAGGTTATCCATCCCCTGTGCCCCCTGGCGATGCTCATACAGTACTTTCTGCCTCATCCACGGTGCTTGTTGGGAACATCCACTGCAAGGTTCGAACCCTCATCACGGCTCCTACGGATTTGCTCATTGATGCATCATGATAGTGTGATTACTCTGCGTATTGAAAGAAGAGCGTCAGAAGTAGAACATTCCTGGATGACCGAAACTGTGGTTCGGCTTCAGTGGAAGCCTCAGGAATCCTAGAGGGTGTAGTAGTATCCCAGGTTGCAATCCTTTTGACCATGTCATGGCATAGTTGTCTAGAGTGTGTGCTTGGGAACACCCAGCACATAGGTTTGAACCCTCATCAAGGCTCCTATGGATTTGTTAAGTGTCCACTTTGTTGTAGGTCTTTCTGGGGGAGAGGGAAGGCTCTTTGGAATCCCTCAATGAGTGCCTCTTCGCTCCTGCTCTTCCCTGTAACGTGAATCTTGTGCAGCTGTATGCTCAAGTCCCCCAACTGTCAGCTGCCTTGGTTGCAGATGACCTTTGCACCAGTTTGCAACTGGCTTCCGCTATGGGTTTCCTGAATCTTCTTGAGCTTCATTTTCATTGGTTTTCAGAGGATGTTAGGCCTCTCAAGTGTAGTTCCTCAATGCAGGAGTTTTAGTCTCTGCTCCTTCAGCAGTCTTGTTCTTCCCGCAGAGTCGGGCCAGGTCTGCACCTGTGTTTGGTCAAGGTAGGTCCTCAGTGGTGCTGGCAGCCGGGTCGGATGTATTTCTGCCAGCTTCTTCCTTTCCATCTAGTCGGCGCTGTGCTCGCTCTGTTCGGAGGCCTGGCTCTCATGGTTCATGTCGGCCCTTTTGTGGGTCACCCCTTTTACTGGGCGGTGGGGGATAGGCTTGCTTGGTTTGCCCACTACTCTTGGTCCCACGATTCATTGGCATTTCAGGTCTTGTTTTGCAGCCTGTAGTGGAGTTGGGTCATCTCGCCTCCAATAAGGGGTTCAGTGCTTTTAGGGCAGGCCTCCTCTCCCAGCCTTTGTCAGGTCATCTTGGAGTGTGTGCTTTTGAGCGTAGTCAAAATGACCTCGTCTCTTCATTGGGTTTCTCACCTGTTTTCCATCCCTAAACGGGATTGCTTGGACCTCCAGTGCATTCTCAATCTTTCCAGACTGAACCGGTTGATACCCTGACCCTTCTTTTGGAAGACTACGTTGTCCCAAGTCCTGAACTGGGCATCGTTGGACCCCCAAGACTAGTATTGGCACATCCCAAATCATCCACAGTTCAGGGATTGGTTTGGTTTCATTATGGGGCTCCAAGGTTCACCAATTTTGGGTTCACCCGTTCGGGCTAAATATAGCACATCACATTTTTATGCAATTGACTATGATCATAGTGACCCATCTTCGTTTGCTACATTTTCGGGTGTTGGTCTATCACGACAAATGGTTGGTTTGGGCTCCCAGACAAAACCACCCTTCCTCTTTCCATGGAATGCATTGTTGATGCCGTTAACTGCCAATGGCTTTCCCGGATGGTTGGGCACCTGGACATCGACCTCTTAGCATCGGTGTGGTCTCCGTGTCTACCTCTTTATGCGGAGTCATTTCCCGACTGCATGGCCCTTGCAGAAGACACATTTCGGCTGGACTGGTCGAGGTTGGGATGCATTTACCTTCTTTTCCTGTTGCTCAGAGTACTGATGCAGCTGGAGTCTTACAGGGGGGGGGGGGAAGAGTGATTCTTCTAGCTCCTTGGTGGCCAGCCCAGTCTTCGTTTCAGGCATTACTCGCGCGGCGTCCGAACCCAGGCGTCTTTCCACAGCTCCGCCTTTATCAGAAGGTCACGCAAGTGGCGTATCTCATTGGTTCGACCTTATCTTTCGCTTTATGTGTATAGACTTTTTGACCAATATTTATTGTCATTTGTATAGTGAACGGGTGGCTGGTTTGACGGTGTCCCACCTGCGGCTTTCTTCTCAGCTACAGTATGAGGTTTCTTGGAGGTCTTTTTGCCCTTTTCTCTCCCTTCATCATTGTCCTGTTCCTGACTGGGTTGTTTTGTCCCTTCTTTCTTGGCTTTTCTCTGATCGGCAGCTTATGCCGAATACTGAGGCTTATCGCACGGCATTGGCAGAGCAACTTCTGCTCCTGTTTGGAGTTGATGTTTTGTCAGCCTCGTTTCGCAAGCTTTCTCGAGCGAAGATACTGTTAACAAGACACCAGGTATCTTGTTAATGACCCTGGTCCTCAGTGGCCGTTTGTTGCTTTAGGTCACCTGTCACAGAGTTCAGTTTCTCCTTCGACTTGATACCTGCGGTGCTGCCTCTTCCCTGGTAAGTGCCCCTTTTCGTCTTTCTCTGTGGATAGTTAGCTTCAGGGAGTCGACGTGGCAGCCCTCAGATAACCATTGTTGAATGTAATGAAACACTAGTTTCTTTCCTGACACCCTCTCTTCCCTGGGTCATCATCTTGGTTTTATCATTAAAGAAATGGGGAGATTGGGCCCGGGTGACCCGGGCATGCTCTCTCCTCCCCCACAACCAAAGGAAGAGGTTGGGGCAAACTAGTGGGTGCTAGTTTCACAAAATTTTGGTTGTTTGTTTTCATTGTTAGGAAGTTTCCTTGGCAATTTTGGAGCTGTGGTCTCGTTTTTACCATGCAGTAGTCTGTTTTGATTCGCCTAACTTTCTGGGTACTTTCCCTTGGATGGTGGCAAAGAAGATAAACTTTAAATGTAAAGTGTACTCACCTAATTGTGCTTGCGGGGGTTGAGCTTCATCTCTTTGGTCCCGCCTCTCAACTGTCAATCAACTGGTGTACAGATTCCTGAGCCTACTGGGCTCTATCATATCTACATTTGAAACTGTGCATAGACACAGCCTCCACCACATCACTTCCTAGTACATTCCATTTATTAACTACTCTGACACTGAAAAAATTCTAACGTCTCTGTGGCTCATCTGGGTACTAAGTATCCACCTGTGTCCCCTTGTTCATGTCCCACCCATGCTGAAGAGTTTGTCTTTGTCCACCCTGTCAATTCCCCTGAAAATTTTGTAGGTGGTTATCATGTCTCCCCTTACTCATCTGTTTTCCAGGGACGTGAGGTTCAGCTCCTTTAGCCTTTCCTCGTAGCTCATACCTCTCAGTTCTGGGATGAGCCTGGTGGCATACCGCTGAATCTTCCCTAACTTTGTCTTGTATTTAACTAGGTATGGACTCCAGGCTGGAGCTGAATATTCCAGGATTAGTCTGATATAAGTGGTATACAGGGTCCTGAACGATTCCTTATACAAGTTTCTAAAAGCAGTTCTTATGTTGGCCAGTCTAGAATATGCCGCTGATGATATCCTTTTGATGTGGGCCTCTGGGGACAGGTCTGGTGTGATATCAACCCCCAGATCTTTCTCTCTATTTAACTCTTGCAGGATTTCACCTCCCAGATGATACCTTGTGTTCAGCCTTCTGCTCCCTTTGCCTAATTTCATTACCTTACACTTTCCTGAGTTGAACTTTAGCTGCCATTTTCTAGACCATTCCTCCAGTTTGTCTAGGTCATCCTGTAGTCTGTCTATCTTCATCTGACTTGATTCTTCTCATAATTTTTGCATCATCTGCAAACTTTGAGAGGAACGAGTCTATACCCTCCGGAAGATAGTTTACATATATTAGAAACAGGACGGGTCCAAGTACTGAGCTCTGTGGGACTCCGCTGGTGACATCTCGCCACCCTGATGTCTCCCCCCTCACCGTTACTCGCTGTTTCCTGTTGCTTAAGTACTCCCTTATCCACTGGAGCACCTTCCCTTTTACTCCTGCCTGTTGCTCCAACTTTTTTAACAGCCTTTTATGGGATACTGTGTCATAGGCTTTCTGGCAGTCCAGGAAAATGCAGTCGACCTACCCTTCTCTTTCCTGCCTAATTTTCGCTGCCTGGTCATAGAATTCTATTGAACCTGTGAGGCACGATTTACCATCTCTGAACCCATGTTGGTGGTGCGTTACAAAATGATTTCCCTCCAGATGCTCTACGAGCCTTTTCCTCGTGATATTCTCCATCACCTTGCATGGTATACAAGTTAGGGAAACTGACCTGTAGTTCAGTGCCTCTTGCCTGTCACCCTTCTTGTATATTGGGACTACATTAGCTGTCTTCCAACTTTCTGGTAGGTCTCCTGTTTCCAGTGACCTGTTATACACCATAGAGAGTGGCACACTTAGCGCTTCTGCACCTTCCTTTAGTATCCATGGTGAGATTCTGTCAGGC